AAATTTTTAAACCACCTCCCTGAGGTGGATCAAATTTAATGCGCACTAGGCTGTTGAGCGGCGCTACGTCGAAGTAAATTTGCACGTGTGAACGCTCCACTGGCGTAGAGTCGGTGCAGCGTCGGAGTAAATCTTGCCGTGTGAACAGGGCTATAGTGTTTGTTGTTATGTCGTGTGGACCTGCTGTGGATTGTTGTCAGCATTTTTTGGCCACGACGTTCGTCAAAGGTGAAGAATCTTTGCTTGGTGGTTGCGCCTTCTCTGCAGCACGAGTGTACCAGCTCTGATCTTGATTGGGAGGAATGTCGGCACCATCTGACTGTCATTGCTAGACAGCCCCGGGGCGCTTGTGTTTTTGCGCCTGGAATGGGCAGCATTTTTCACAGCCCCGCTTTGTTCAGCGGGAATGTCGGTGCTGTTGGGACAGTCTGCGGCTGGATGGATGGCTTGTGGAGCCGACGATGAGAAGAAAGGAGCGTCAGCGAAGAGCGCCGATGCGTATGTGGAACTGGGAGTCGCAGAGCATCATTTGAATGCATCACGAAGTTCATGATTAAAAAATGCTTTTAGTCCTCAAAAACTGAACATCTGCCTTTAATTCGTTGGAAGGGGAGGTGTAGCAGCATGCTGGTCTGAATTCAGCAGATCGAGCGGCCACATTGCGTCCTCATCACTCGGACTTCACAAAACTGATCTGCGATCAGCCCGCGGGGCGATACAAAGCCCGCCCTCTAGCCGTTAACTAGCATCTCTCGGTAACCACATTGCTACACGAAAAAAATATATTTTAAACACTGTTTGGAAACTCTTGAGTACCATCACTTAGTTCGGTTTGTTTCGTCTAACGGATCGGAAGAGGCGACGATCTAAGGACAAAGGAGGTAGGAGAACTCTGGCGCACTCATGCTACGGCTAAGAGCTAACAGCTGGCGAGCACATTCAAGTTAGACAAAGTTGGCGTCCACAGTTCCTTGTCATGAATTTCAAAATAAGACCAAATTGTGAGGACGGACACTACATACCTCGTATTTACCAATAGTGTCCAAGACAGAAAATGTTAAAAGCTCACTATATGCTCAAGGTAAATTGAGTGTATTTCAAATACTGCTTGATTTGCGTTGCAAAGCGAGAATTAAAACGCGCTCGAAACTTTTACCGTGGATGCCATGTTCACAACATCCGGGTATATTTCTGCCGTCTCCTTCTTACTTTGCCCAGTAAACAATTTGGCGGCGGCAAGCATGCGTCGCTGGCGTCCAGAGCAAAACATTTGAAACGTCCCGATTAACAATTAGACCTAATTCGCCCAATTGTTCTCGGCGGCGACACATCAAGGCACACGGAGAGCTTTGGTTTGGATCGCTCGCTCGCTAGCTGGCTAACGTTACGTTAGCAGTCGCCAGCCGCCCTGTGGCTGCCAACAAACCTGGACGCGGTAAGTCGTCGCCTCGTCGTCCTCCCGGAGATAAAAACATGTTTCGCCCGAGCCTTAAGACAGCATGGGCTCAGCGGACGATGTAGTTGTGAGAAAAACTTGCCACAAAACGCCCCCAAAGCGCTTCAACGCTGCGCGCTCCGAGACAAGCGAGTTCACCGGATGTGGAAGTGGTTTTTTCTCGGTGTGTAAAATAGGAAATTTCTCGCTGACTTCCCCCGGAAAACCAACAAGTTTATATCAAACGGTTTCCTGTCCGTCGTGCAGGACATGTTTGGAGGTGTCCAAAATGGATGTTGGTGATTTGTAATTGATAAGTGCGGAGGGGAGGGGTAGACGTGGCACATGGCGGACTCTTTGCTGGCCACAAGGCGCGTAAAATGGCTCCTCGGCCCGGCGAGAAAAGCTTCGGCTGTGCTAACCGCTCAACATGATTGTCGGACGCCACCACCCCGCTCGCGTCGTCGGTAACTTTTCAAAGTTACTCTCCCGTTTCTGCCATGAAAACCAAACCACGAACACTAATATCTCTTTGAACGCGGTAGTTACGGTTTCTTCCAGTTGCGTACGCGCAAATGGATGACAGAAACATATTTTCTTCCTCAAAATTCAAATTCGCATATAAGCGACAGTGTTCCACTAGATGGCGCAGTTATTTCTTTTGTTTCTAAATTGGAGCCCGTTTCTCGCGGGACATGGCGTTCGACACCACCACGAGAGTTGAAAAATGTGCAAAAATCGAGACTTCCAACTGTATTTCCACACTTGAAACTTCTATTGGCAGTTAAAGTTGTTTGGACATGTCAGAATTACTAATTGGCCTGTTCTTCGACGATGTCGTTCAGCGAGGCGGCTTTATATCAGCCAAGGCAGACTTTTAAAAGTATATTCTGGTTTACCCTGAGGGTTTTCACATAGTTCGTGTCTCCTTCCTCTTACACGCTTTACGTTCTGCTGCAGCATCCAGGCAGACGTGCCCATGCGTGTGTGCGTGTGTGTGTGATTGTACCCGCCCATAAAAACATAGTGTAATACAAAATTCAGCTCTTACCGTTCCATTTGATGAGATCATTCTAGCTTTGTATCATTTGATCACTTTGTGCCCATTAAATTTTCTGCAAATGCAGAAAATAAATCTTGCCCTTATCAGACAAAAAAGATGTCATCGACATGCTGTCAGAAATGTGAGGTGACATACCACGTGTGCTCACTTGTGCACAAAGGTAAATATTTAAAAAAAAAACAAAAAAAACTTTCAACCAGCATTCTAATTATTTGTGCATTTCTACTTCTTACTGAATTGACATCAAAGCATTGAAACCAATCAAACCTAGAGAACCAAAATGAGGTTGTCAACAATAGCTGTCCAAAGTAATGTCTCCTGCGGGCATTTGAATATCAACCTTGCGTTTGTGTGTGTGTGTGTGTGTGTCAGATGTCGCTGGTGGACCTGGGCAAGCGTCTTCTGGAGGCGGCGCGTAAAGGCCTGGACGACGAGGTGAGGAACCTGATGGCCAACGGAGCTCCGTTCACTACTGACTGGGTGAGTGCTCGTCCCGACTGGTTATGCATTTGTCATGAAGCGCATTAATCCCGTGCAACCCCCCCATTCGCGCAGCTTGGGACGTCCCCACTGCATCTGGCCGCCCAGCATGGCCACTACTCCACAGCTGACGTTCTGTTGCGAGCAGGCGTCAGTCGCGACGCTCGCACCAAAGTGGACCGGACGCCTCTGCACATGGCCGCCGCCGAGGGGCACACTATCATCGTGGAGCTGCTGGTCAGGGTGAGCGCTTTCATTCTGAACACAGAGACACTCCTTCACCAAGTCCTCCGGCTGATATGGCAATTTTGTGGCCCATGACGATACCGATAGTTGGCCAAAAATACAATACATCGGCCAATATCTTTAAAAAAAAAAAAAGAACATTGACGCACACATGATATGTGTTGTGCATGAACACAAGTTCTTAAAATAACCAATTTAGGATTCAAGACAAAGAAGCAGAACACATCTTAAGAGGGATTCATATTGCAGCACAGCAAGACCTGCCTAGAATTCAAGTGGGATTTGTAGTAACGTCCTCTGTTCTCTTCAGTAGTCGCTCTACGCAGAGGATAAAGAGCGTATGACTGTGAGAACTATTGTACACTGTCAATGTAAGTGTGAAACCAATTGTGTTGAATCCGTTGCATTATAGGGTTACATTACTGCAGGGTAGATGCTAATCAGCATTAATATTAAGCTCGTGGACTGAAAAGCAAAGCTAAGATTGTTTCAAGTACACAAGTTTGAAAACGGGGGGAAAAAAAATCGCCGAACGACGGCTTGTTTGTTGAAAATGGCATCAGTCAGGTCACTCGTATGGCAAAGTGCCAGTGGTGAAAGTTGGACTCCCTTCCTCCGCGTCTCACCGTTTTCCTCTCTCGGCTCCAGAGCGGCGCCGACATCAACGCCAAAGACATGCTGAAAATGACGGCGCTGCACTGGGCGGCGCAGCACGGCCACCACGGTGTGGTGGAGACGCTAATCAAGCACGGCGCCGACGTGCACGCCCTCAGCAAGTTCGACAAAACGCCCTTCGATATCGCCGTCGACATCCAGAACACGGAGCTCATGTTGCTGCTGCAGGTCGTCCGCTCGCCTCGTCACGGCTCTCGACTCCCTGCCTCACGTCGAGCTTCAGTCATGACGCCCCCCCCCCCACACCCCTTTTTTTTTTCTCTGTGTGTGTATAGGAGGGCATGCAGAACCAAGTGAACATGAACCAAGTGAGCATGAACGTGGAGTCCAGCAATACCGGCAACCAGCAGCAATTCATCATCCAGGGCATCCCGTCAATACAGGGAGGTGTGGTCAACCTGGCCGACCTGCTCAACAAGGCTGGCACCGGTACACTCTCACACACGCACTCACATGGTCAGATACGAATGTGAACCAATTTCGGAATTTTTTTCGAGATACGAGCTGCCCTTCGGCTGTTTGGGGATTTTTGCTTCCAAGCAAACGTTTGAGATACGAGCAGGGTACGGTGGCAGAGAACTCGGTTCATCTTACTTCACAACAAGCAGCAGTTTGGCAGTGAAAGACTTTTAAGGTGGGGGTTTCTTTTCGTCTCAGTCAAGGATTTCACGCTGCACCAATTTTACTTTCACAGGGAAGACATTCTGAGAATGCTGCAAATTGTAGAAATGTGCTGGAACAGATGGATGACATTTCCATTCGTTTCAAGGCGGAGAAATGATTTGAGAGAGCAAATTCAGTTTGGTTCTCAAGGAACAACTGTATTCAAATAGCACAAAAACCACAAAATATACGTTGCAGGCATGAAAAATTTGGCCCTGTTTAGTGTACTGAATGTAAGTCGTGATATTGGTTCTTGGTGTCAAAAGGTTTGAGGCGACAGAGTCAGCGCCGGTGAGCCCGTGTGACACTCCATTTTGCCTTCCAGGGGAATCTGAAGAAGCCATGGCCGCCAATGCTCTGGACAGCAACATCCAACATGCTGCTGTGGTCAACGAGGGTGGCCAGAGGGTCATCACCATTGTAACCGACCAACATGGCAACCTGCAGACCACCGGGGGCATGTCGCAGCCCTTCTTCGTCACCATGCAGCATGGACAGCAAAGTATGACTCACTCACTCACTCACAGGCCGAAATACAGTTGTCGTTGATTTGAAGATGGTGTTATTGTAATAAATAATACGAACACATTAACGTGAATTTGACCAAGAATGATAGATGGCGCTGTTAATGTGATAATCTTCCTCTATCAAGCTCGTGTTTTTCAATTTTTTTCGAGCATAAAAAAAATCCTGCGGCACACCACTAGCTGAAAATGTGAAAAAAAAGCTTATTTTAACAATTAAAGTGTTATATTGTTATTATAAGCGTTTTTCAACACTGAAGAATAACATCATAAAACCTTGAATAGGAATCAAATAAACATCAATCAAATATTTCGGAATCTTTCATATTTATTCTTACTCAGTGTGATAAATGGTTTGGATGAACACAGATCTAATCTCCTGGCAACAATCGATTGAAGACACACGAAGCTCTTCCTCCACAGCTCTCAGTCTTTCCCTGTTTTTAGTTTTTAGAGCAGTCGGGCAATTTCTTTAGCCGCTTCGGGTCCGAACATCTCATTTAGAATGGCTTTGCAGGCGCGAAGTATGAATTACTCTGCCACTGCGACTTTTTTGATTTAGTCACAAGTTCGGCGACATGGTAACTTGCTTTCGGGGCTCTCTCGTTTACCTTTGCGGGTTTTTCTCATGCACGTCGCTTGTTTCTTCGTGTCTTCACGCAGGCGAAGAAAATACTCCTCATTTTTGTTTCGAAGTTGAAGGGTGTTTTGTTTAGAGATGGAGTTTAAGCTTACTTGGGATCATAGCGGTGTTGGAGAGCTTTTCACCACACACCAAGCACAACGGAGTCGGTGCCGTTGCATCACCGGTATAAGTAGATCCAAATGAAAGATAGCTTTCATTGTATTGCCTCGCGCCATAAACGTCGCTTGTCTCGAAGCACAAGGCAATTAGCTAGCCGCTGCTGCTAACTACCGGGATGGAAGAGTACTACATGATTACTCTGCCACGCGATGGACCGCACAGGCATACGCATTGGATAATTTTCCACGGCATACCTGACAATATCTCGTGGCACACTGATGTGCCGTGGCACAGTGTTGAAAAACACTGTCCAAAGGAGCCCTGAAGGTGACGAGGAAGAGAAAAAAACAACTTTGCATTCCGTCGCAAAGATTGGGAAATAACACTAAGTTGATTTTTATTTATTTGTTTGTTTGTTTGCAAGGGAACATTTTTTTTAATGTGTGTTTATGTACTTCCAGGTCATCTTCCGGGTAAATGAAAGCAAGAAAGATGGAGCGTTTTTTTTTTTAATCACATTTTACTTTGAAATTGGCTTGAAATACACAGACATAATATTCACTCGTGATCTGAAGCAGAAACAAGCGACAGACATCTGAATTACTGTACTGTCTCTCCAAACAGCCTGGCATTAGAAGTTACAGTAGCCAATCTGGGGGAAAAAAAGAATAAGCCTCACTGCTGACATCTGGTGGTCAGCCAGTTTCATAGCAGCTACAACCCTCAGCGATTTGATGAAATTGATTTGTATTCCAACATGACAGCATTCAATCTTACTTGTCTGTCTAATGATCATCATGTCCACATATAGGTCTTGCAACATTTTGACACAATACCGTCGTTTGGGTTCAATGTCATGTCCTGTTACACAGTAGATTTAAATAAACATGATTTGGATGGGGCAACAATGATGGTCGACTGGTTAGCGCGTCGGCCTCACAGTGCAGAGGAACAGGGTTCAATTCCGGTTCCAGCCTTCCTGCGTGGAGTTTGCATGTTTTCCCCGTGCCTGTGTGGGTTTTCTCCGGGTAGTCTGTTTTCCTTCCGTGGTCCAAAACCATGCGCGGAAGGTTAAAGGAACACTCTAAAATTGTCCCGAAGTGTGAGCGCGAAAGGTTGGCGTCTCCTGTCGGCAGTTACAGCTTGACACGACGCCTAATATTTGAATCCAGCTACGTGATTTCCGGTGCCTTGTTGGCGTGCATGAAGCGTCATCCATCATCAGCGCGTGATCACGGCGACTTCATCCGGCCTTTTGACGCACTGTTCCGTGTCGTCCCATCTCACTCGGCTGACGCGGGCTCCGGAATGTCGGTATCAAAGGTTCCATCTCTACTGTCTGATGTGTGTAGTGCTAGCGGTGCCCGCCAACACCGTGACGGAGGAGGTGGTGACGGAGGAGTCGCAGGCGCCGCCCTCCAGGAAGCGGAAGTTGGAGGTGGCCAATAATCACAACGACACAGGAGAGACGGTGAGTGGTGACTTCTTTGATGGATTTGTGTGAAGTGTAAAGTGCACTTTTGTTCATCAACAATATCGATGCAGTAACCTGGGTCGCCGATTCCGCCGTAAGTGATCATCAGCTGTGTCACGAGAAATTCAACAAGTACACACAATTGGTGCCAAAATCATTCTTTCTCAACTGCAAATTAGGTTTCTTCGATCATCTATGTATGCCGGCAAAGTACAGAACATTTAGATGGTCTTGGCACTAAATGGCAGAAGGTACAACTGACCTGTTGACAGTCATGCAGGAGAAGTCGTCATGCGAGTAAATCAGCTCTGTGTCAATTTGTCAGTACACGGAAACAAGATCGTAATTGCTTCAAGTGTCGTTACACCGCATTTTGGCACTTTTCCTGGGCTCGTTCTTTGAGATTTTTTTTTTCCATGTCAAATATGTGTTTTGGATCAATAAAAGTGTGGAAACATGAGATTCCTCAAAATGGTGCCAGAGCAAGACTGTTGCCGAAATGAAAATCCTCAATTCACATCAACGTGGTTCCTTCACACCAAGAATCCATAAGGTGGCTGCAAAGCACTAGTTTGGTCTAAATGGAAACCTTTCGACTTACTTTGTATGCAGTTCCTTGAAACACGTTGACGGCAAAACACTCTTTTTTTTTTTTTTTTCTTCAAAATGAAACTCCTTCACTCACTCGACACCAAGATGCCACTAAATGGTGACAAAGCACTACTCTTATTGAAATGAAACTCAAACTCACTTCACCATATGCAGTTCCTTGAAACCCGTTGACGGCAAAACCCTTTTTTTTTTTTTTTTTTTCTTCAAAATGAAACTCCTTCACTCACTCGACACCAAGATGCCACTAAATGGTGACAAAGCACTACTCTTATTGAAATGAAACTCAAACTCACTTCACCACAGTTACTTGTCACCAATGTGGTGGCAAAACACTACTTTTCTACAAGGTGGTGCCAAAGTAGCGAATGACCGTGGATGGCTTCCAAAAAAATAAAAAAATACCAAACCACGAAAGGTGGGGGTTAATTTTCGGTCATCCAGAAAATGTACCTGGAAGCCAAAAATGCTGAACTTTTTGTGAGTAGTCCTGATTAATTTTGGATAATTGTCGCGTGGAAGGGGAAGTTTTAGTCGAGCGTTTCACTGATTTGTTTGTGGTGTGCAGGAGCTGCTGCAGAGGCAGCTGCAGGAGGCCAACAGGAAGGCGCAGGAATACCGACAGCAACTGATGCGGAAGGAGCAAGAGGCCGAGGAGTACCGCATCAAACTGGAGGCCATGGCCCAGAGTCAGGCGGGCGTCGCCGCCGCCAACGTCAGCCCCGAGGAGGTGGTGGGCGGCGACGAAGACGAGGATGCGGCGGGCGTGGGTGTGATGGAAGAGGAAGGCCAGATGGTGGTGCTGCAGGAGGGAGGCATCATCATGGAGGGCGATGGGGGCCGCGTCACGCTGGTGGAGACAGGCGGGGAACCTCCTGGGGGGAGGTCCTAACGTAACCCAAACCCCCGAGATAGACTGAATACGGACCGACGTGACACGGCGCCTCGCCGTCTTTCCAGCAGGGGTCATTCTTCATCACATCACATGGGACTGCTTCCTGTTCTCTCCGCCTTCCCGTTGTTACTGGTCACTTCTGTGTTGGGAAATGCTTCTGCGCCCCGGCTTCATTTTCTTTTTGCTAATTTCCAATCAGATAGTGGCTTCTGGGGAATATTTTGGAGACGCGTACCAAGTACCACACTGAACTGGTTGTGGAAAACGTTTCCCATCCGAAATAGTTGACATTCTTCGTAGTCTTGATTAAAATCTCAGAATATCACATCATCCAAATCGGGTAAATGCAAAACTTGCCCTTGATTCGGAAATTTTGAAGCCACATGAACTTATAAGATATGAGAGCGATTTCCTTTTAATCATTGTTACACACTTAGCAAGCTGTAAACACTCATGAAGACATTTGTAAAGTACACCTTTCAACTTTTTAAGGACAACAAATATTTTAGGGACAAAAGTGCCACACTCAACTCTCGACAAGATTTCCCCACACGAAGTAACTCCGTCAATTGTTATTCAAACCTTTTTTTATTTTTCTTGCATATTTTTGTGCAAAATTGGCAACCAGTAAAAACATTGTTGCAGTTTGATGGGGTTGCTCTTGATGAGGGATGTCAAACTCATTTTTGTCGCAGGCCACATTGTTGTTACGGTTTGCCTTGGAGGGCTGTTCTAAATTTTGGAAAACCATATACATTTTTAATCACCTCCACATATTACATACACAGCGCACAACAAATTGACGAATCACTAGTTTTAAATAGAAGTCAAGAATACTGAATTATTATTACTGTGGAATATATATATGACAATTTGAAATTTTGGTTCAGACTTTAGCAAGCATCATGAAACTTGACATACTTGATTTGCTTTCGTGCGCCACAAAAAAATGATGTGACGGTCCAGATCTGACCCCCGGGCCTTGACTTAAGACACCTGTGCTCTTGATTGTTGGCAGCGAATGTATGAATTGATGATGGTGAAAATGAGAATAATGATTTGATTTTCTGTTCTCCCCAGTGGGTTAGTTTTCAAATTTGAATAATCGATCTCGATAGTTGAAATGTGCAGCAGATGCTTCATCCCAACTTTAAGTTACCAAAAAAACAAACACAAACAAAAAGGGAAGCCAGGGAGCCGAATGGATCCTTTCTGAACTGGACCCGAACAACAACAAAAACATTTAAGTGTGCCATCCTTTATTCCTTCATCTGTCCTGTGAGTTGAGTTTGATATATATATTTTTTAAATAAACTCAGCAACCTTTATTCAATGTACTGTACATATCAAGTTGTATTTAATTCTTGACTGGACCTGCCAGGTTCACCATGTTGATGATAGCAATGCTCATTTGATGAACATAACCCCGTTTACTCGTTTTTTTGGGAATGTGACCCAATGACTCAAACGCCTTGTTAACGTAATCACCGCAGTGCCGATGTTTAAGTACTTTATGGAGCATTTTAATTTGACAAGATCCGTAAATAAATTCATGCAGGCTGAGCTCGAGTTAGACTGATGGCTCCTTCACCAAATCCGAGAACGAAGCCGAGCGAGCGCCATTTTAGTCCCGCCCCCTTACAATTTGTCATCTTTTCTATCGAGTGTAATGACACAAATGGGTCTTTCCCTGCATGTCCTCGAGTTTGAAGACATTTCCCTGAAAGGCGGCTCCAATTTGGGCGTTATAAGGCACCAGAGCGGTAATTTGATGAGCAAACAACAAGCGTCCCCACGAGGTCTACGCAGCCAGTCCGTTTGGGACGAGGCCTCCCCGCTCTTTGGATTAAGGCAGATCAGTCTCAACTGACACGTCTCCTGTCCAATGGGCGTCGCGCTGGAGACCAGCAGCCAATCACGTGTCGCAAAGGGCGGGCCCACGGCGGAGGGGGCAGGACGCGAGGTATCATGGAGGATCAGCGAACAAACTGTGGCCATCAGAGACGCGCAGGCGACGCTCTTGTCCCGGGGACTTTACTCTCACTTCACCGCCCGACTGCTCCCTCGTCGCCAACCACATATTCACAATGGACATGAAGAAGAGGATCATTTTGGAGCTGCGGAACCGAAACCCGGCAGAGGTGAGTGGGCACCATTGAGCCACTTGGGGAGGATGAGCGAGGCGAGGGGGAGCGGATCCAACGAGCTGCCCGCTGCGCTGCGCTTCGAGAAGACCGCAGCGCGCCCGCCAACTTTGCTTTCACACACTTGGCCTCGCGTGCGGTCAGCTCGAACGTCGTGGAAGTACCGCAACGGCGGTGAAGCGGGACCCCGGGTGGATGGAAACGGCGACGGCGGCTCGGTTCCCTCGGTCCGGTCAGCCGGCCATACGCCCGCCCCTCCTCCTCCACCCCCAAGCCGCTCGTTCGTCCTTTGCCTCAACACCGACAAGATGGCTCTTTAAACAATAACTTTTAATCACTCGCTGCTAGCAGTGGCAGCAGTTTATTTGTTTAAAAAAATGCAAGATCAAAATTTGATATCTTTTGGAGCGCGGGGTTCCGTCACGGAAACACTGCGCGTCAAGCACCACGACGACATTTTCAAGTTGGTTGGAGGCGAACATTTGTGTGCATGTCGTCGTCCTAAGAGCTGAAAAAAGTCGATCCCGGAGCACATTATTGTAGTGACCTTTCGGGACGTGCATGGCCATTTAGGCGCGCGAGGCGAGGCCAAGGAGGCAAGCCCCCTTTCCCCGACATTTTGATACTCGGGCGAGTGACGCCGCTCGAGTCCCAAAATGTGGTTTTATTCGACGCACGGGCTATACAAAAAACAAAGGACTACGACGAGCTACGGCACCGTAGCTTGCCAGAAACGCGACAACCGAACCCTAACTACTATAACGAGGACAATCCTGTGCTTCCCCCCTTGGGCGGCTAACGTGACGACGGTAGCGCCTCAAAATGGAGGGACGTTACTCGTCGATGGCGGATTAACGCGCTCCACTTCCGACCGACAAAAGTGCCGCTAGCACATTAGTTGAGCTTCTAGCCTCTCGGTGGCGTCGCCGAGCTTTTGCGAGCGAGTCGTGACTCACGACTCGTGAGCGGCCCAACGTTCGCCTGTTGGCCCACTGGCTCGGTTCGGTCGGCGACCTCCGCGTGGCGTCGTCCTCTTTTATGGGGGAGACATTTTGTGTGGAGCGCGTGCGCGCTCAGCGCGGTTATGCAAGTCCAAGCAAACATGGCCCGTGCACGCTCGCACACACACTAGTGGGTAAGTCACTGGCAGCACGTGCGCGCACGAGTCAATGCTGCTTGCAGTTCTTGTGTGCGGGCCTGGCACACTCGTGCACCCGCACGCATCCAGCAGCAGCAACGTCAAATACAAATGACAAAGCAGTTAGTTTCTGACAAAATTGTGTGGCTGTATTCATTAATAGCAGAGCTGCAGCAATCGAATATCACATTCCTAAACAACACTGGCCAACAGCAAATTCTGATTGGAATTGGCATTCTGTCCCTACAAATATTTATATTTGACGCCGATGTAAAAAATGTTTGCTTTTTTTTTTGTTCAACCACATCTGGTTTTCGAGATATTTCCTGTTATTTATGTATAAAAGCTTGCACGATACAGATTTTACCGTGCCCTGTAATCTATACCTCTGACGTTTGAGGAAACAAATCCACTCGTTGCTGAAACTAACCCTTCATTCAAAAATACTATTATAAAAACCTGATGTGCTAGATACAAAACAGGCCTTTGGAATAAGATTAAAAATAATTTACAAAAGTTTATTTGCATCTCTCATTAAAAAAAATGTGAACATTTGTGGACCAGTGTAATTTCTTTTGAGGTTTCACTTTTAACACAGAGAAAACACACACACATAACAAATACACAGACGTACAGTATCAGTACTCAAACGTCATTCAGCCCATACCATTGTGCAATTAGAAATAGAGAAATAAAACATAAAAGCTATATGCCACCGAAATGTAGTGTAATGATGTTAATCTTCATACTGCCACCTGGTGGTCAAGGTGGGCACACCAGAAGGAGGGGGATAATGAATTGAACTGGAGTATGTCTGTATGTTGTAAATAAATGGCACAATTTGTCCAGACATTAAAGGATACTGTGTTTGCTTTTTTTTCAGGTGGCCGAGATGGTGGTGGACAACAGCCCCTCGGTGAGTGGCGAAGTGGAAGGTCTCTCAGACAAGTTTATCGAGCTGGAGGTCCTCAGTATGATCAACGTGGGTCTAAATTCACTGGCCAAGCTGCCGTCGCTGCCCAAACTGCGCAAGGTGACACGCACATCACATGACTTGTGTCTGTGTCGCGCCCGACTCTCCTCGTCCTGAAGTAGGCCGGTATTCCTGATTGTTTTTTTTCTCACTGTCTCTCTCTCTCGCTCTCTCTCTCTCTCTCTCTCTCTCTCTCTCTCTCTCTCTCTCTCTCTCTCTCTGTCTCTCTCACACTCTCACAGCTGGAGCTGTGTGAAAACAACCTGTCGGGTTCTTTTGAGACCTTGTCGGAAAAATGTCCCAACCTGATCTACCTCAACCTTAGCAGCAACAAGATTAAGGAGCTGAGCAACCTGGAGGCCCTGGTCAGTGCACACCCATCAAAATCCTTTGTTGGTTGCCATTTTAGTGTTGTCTTATTCATTTTTTGATCTATCTACCCATCTTTATCTGTATGTATCCGCATATATGTACGTATAGATTTCACTCCATTAAAAACTTCTATTTGCGATTAATTACGTGATGTCCGAAGTTAACTGGCGTTGAATTGCATATTTTGCACCTCCCCTTCTTGCCGTTCATGAAGTTTCATCTCTTCCACTTGAGCTCAGTGCGATCCAGCATGTTGTCGCAGAACTTGATACGATACTGTCTCTCTCTCTCTCTCTCTCTCTCTCTCTCTCTCTGTCTCTCTCACACTCTCACAGCTGGAGCTGTGTGAAAACAACCTGTCGGGTTCTTTTGAGACCTTGTCGGAAAAATGTCCCAACCTGATCTACCTCAACCTTAGCAGCAACAAGATTAAGGAGCTGAGCAACCTGGAGGCCCTGGTCAGTGCACACCCATCAAAATCCTTTGTTGGTTGCCATTTTAGTGTTGTCTTATTCATTTTTTGATCTATCTACCCATCTTTATCTGTATGTATCCGCATATATGTACGTATAGATTTCACTCCATTAAAAACTTCTATTTGCGATTAATTACGTGATGTCCGAAGTTAACTGGCGTTGAATTGCATATTTTGCACCTCCCCTTCTTGCCGTTCATGAAGTTTCATCTCTTCCACTTGAGCTCAGTGCGATCCAGCATGTTGTCGCAGAACTTGATACGATACTGGAAATGTGTCACTCTCAACCGGGACTTACCTATGATGCCAAAATGCAACTTTTTTTGCAGCAAAACCTGAAGAGCCTTCAGAGTCTGGACCTGCTGAACTGTGAGATCACGTCGCTGAAGGATTACCGCGACAGTGTGTTCGAGCTCCTGCCTCAGGTCACCTACCTGGACGGCTTCGACCAGGAGGAGAACGAGGCGCCCGATTCGGAGGCCGACGAAGAAGGTGAGCCACGCTGCACCCCGTTGCAAACGTCTGGGGAACTCAAAGCCTTTTCTTTGTGTCGCAGATGAGGACGGCGAGGACGGGGCAGGGCCGACCGGCGACTACGATGACGAGGACGACGAAGACGACGACGAGGACGGCTCGGAGGGAGGAGAGGTGGGGCTGAGCGTTCGTGGGAAGAGGGCCACGCATCAGGTGGGCAACGCTGGCGTCGGGCCCGCGGATCGGACGCCCCCCCACCCCCAGCATGCACCTGTGCTCAGGCGGCAGAGAACGGGACTCAGGGGCTGCCTTCAGAATCGCTCCCTAGTCACCAAATCAAAATCACTACAAAGGGAGGAACCATCAAGGTCCACTTGTCACTTTGATTCCATTTGGCTATGTCTAACTAACCCCTGCGTCAACATCTCGATCAGCGATCAGGCAGCGGGAATTGCTGAATGGTCCGGAATCGTTGGCTCATTCCCTGCTCCCAAATTACTGCCTAGCGATTTATAGTGAACTTTAACTGAACTGCCTCGTCCACAAAATCAAAATCTCAATTTCGGGGAGTAGGAAGCAAGCAAAAGAATCTGAACACAGTCTTGGTATTTCTTTGCGTTGATTTAGCACCATTTCTGAAGCCTTTACGTGACTTGCAGGGTCCACATTGGCTCACAAGGGGCCAATTATTGGATTAAAACCCGCCCCCTGCAGGCCACCGAGCCAATGATGCTCCTCTAGTCCTCAACTCAATCCGGATTGGTTCCTTCAGGAAGTCTTCTCTGCCGCCTCGGACCTTTGACCCCTGAGCTCAACTATGACAAGTCAGATGCACAGAAAGTAAAAGTAGACCTTGTAAAAGTATCGATAGTAGCGATTGTACATTTATTGCCGAATAAGTATTTCTTTGGGGGGGGGGGGGAGCGGAGATGCTAAAATGTATTGATGGTAAAAAAGTATCCCTTAATGTGTTGAATAAGTATTGACCGGGAAAATCGAAGTATTCATTCTCAAAGTATTAATAGTAAAAGTAATGATCGTAAGTAGGGATGTTCAACGCTACTTTTTTCCAGGCGATACCCAATTTGAAACTTTTGAGCTTTTTCTGTTTTACTCAACTGATCCCCACAGCGTTATTAATACTCTTGATTATTCACTGAAGGCGAGTACTGATATCACCAGTACTTTTGATCCATCCAATTTCAACTCATGCAATGACAGATTGGGAATTAGGACCTTTGTCTCTTGCCAATATGCGTGAGTTGGTGACGTGTCAAACGGCTGCGGTGTAGCGCCAACTATTGCTGAGGAGGTCATACCCAGTGTCAGATTTTATTAGATTTTTATTTTGCCTCCATAAGACCAATACAGAGACTTGGTATGGGGACTCACCCCTCCCAAGTCAAGTATTGATCGGTGAAAGTATTGGTGGTAAGATGAACAAAAAAAGCTCTGGTGGTCGACATGGTCACGGTGACGTAGACTCCCCAGTAGTGACCTCCTGTGTGTGGACGTCTTAGTGTGTGCACGCGTGTTCAGTTGTGCACACGCATGCCTTGACCAATGCGCACTTGTGCTCAGGAGGAGGAAGAAGACGACGACGAGGAGGACTATGGTGAGGAGGAGGAAGAGGAAGGTGAGTGGACTGCCTCATCGAGGCATGGGTCCAGGCCTGTCAATCAATCAATAACCTTGCCACCCCAATCACTCTGCCTGTGGTTGCGCAGACGAGCGAGCGGACACTCAGGGACAAAAGAGGAAGAGAGACGTGGAGGACGACAGCGAGGACGACGAAGACGACGAGGACAACTAGCCGTGCTGTCGTTGCCCGTGTGCGTGCGTTTCCCGTCCTACGCTAGATGTCGCCCCTCTAGCTCTGCCCACCTCCTTCAAATGGGGTTGCAAAGGGGAAAGCATTTCTTTGGAAATAATCCAAATTTGAAACTTTTCATGGGAATTAACTGGGATTTGAATTGTATGATTGGTTTCTTTTCCGTTGTATTTTATTTATTTGTTTTTTGGGTGGGGGCGCAGCGGCCAATCAAAAAAAATTGAAAGCAATCGTTAAAGTTCAGTGATCCAAGTCCTCTCCACCCACCACAACAGATTGGCAAATTGACCAAAAGGTTGGCAAGAAACGTTTTTTTTTTTTTTTTTTTTTTTTTTTTGAAAAGTTCCCTGTTCAGTCCAAAGCAATGTTGAAGCCATCTTGTGGCATCATTCGGCAATTGCAAAGCTTTTAGCAGCAAGGTTGGGACCCTGTCTCCCGGTAATTATAGTAAGTCGTTGGAGTCAGCATTATGCTCAAATAGATTTTAGCCTGTAAGTGTTTTTTATTGTCAGGGGGGATTGAGGTGTGTCCACAAATAGCTTTCCAATTGCCTGTCAATTTACGACCCGATGGACAAGTTAGAAATTGCTTTGTGGGGGGAGAAACAACACCCCCGATTCTGGAGTAAGCAGTGATAAATTGCTAACAAGCCTTTAACATGAAAAATGAGGGTCGACACCCAAGTTTGATTTTATTTTATGTTTTAATAGACAAAATCCATGCATCTTTTTAGTATGACATGTAGCCTGAGCATCAAAACAACAAATAAGAGCTTCTAAACTAATGATGGACGATGAATTTAGAGGGGGGGAGACCTTGCTGAATCTGTGAATTTGCAAAGGCTGCGCCACAAATATGGAGTGCATATTGAGCCAACCCTCAATTGTGTACATTAAAAAAAAAAACAATTATTCTGCTTTGCTGAATCTGTTAATCCCCTTGAAAACTTTCTAAATTCGCAATTTGCCATCACTTTGCAACCCTACTTCCTGTATATCCGCAACCCAGCTGAACTCCACTCGGCTCCGCCACATGCAAGATGGCGGCCACGTTGGCTTTGGGATCTTCTGGAATTTTTGCTGAAGACATCCAACTAAATTGGGACTGTTCATCGATCCTCGCTTTTGCCCATTAGTGATGACATTGCCAACTTTTAAGGGACACATTATTAAAAACAAAAAGACTTTTTGAACACAAAAAGTTGTCTGATTGTTGAGGACGTTGATTTTTGTTTTTTCGTTTTTATTTTTCCAACACAAACCAAAGTCGGTGCACTTCAGAGCGCCTCCTTCAGGACTCCTTGTGTTTGTGGATCAGGATCTTCCTCCTCCGTTTTAGCCCGATGATCACATGACTTCTGCCCCGCCCACCTTATAGAAATATGCAGACCACTGTAAGCTCCTCCTTCTCTTATACTTATTATTCCGTGTGTGTGTGCGTGTGTGTTTTATTGTAGCTTTTTACACGCTCGGTGACTTTTTTTGGACTTTTTTGTTTGTTTGATTTCTTTTTGGGGGGGTCAAGTGATGTGAAATATTCCAATAAAGTTGAGTCCGGTCGCTATTAAAACATTGTGGGATAAGGGAAATCAACATTTTTAAAAGAATTGATGACAAAGCAATATTTATAGATTTTTACAAAGATAAGGTTGCTTTCTTGTGATCGGCCGATTAATTTAGTTCTTACCTTGTCGTTTCTCTCACTGACATCCAAATAAATGTGCGTGTGTGCGCGTGCGTTTTTGTGTGTCGGTGTGTGTTTGCCGCTTTGAACATTTATTACAAAAAAAAAAAAAGGATGGAATATTTGTGTACATACGTTTTTACGCTCTTCAGGTCTGATAGAAAATGAAAATAAAGTCATTTAGTTGAACTTTGCTGTGGCTTTACTGTGAATGGAAAATTCCTCCGGGAGGCGCTCTTGAGCGCGTTCGACACTTAACGTCAAGCTGGACTAATCGTTAGCTGATTTGCGTCCTTTTCCAGCTGACTGTCAATCTGTCAGGTGTCTTCCCGCCCAAGAGGATGTGGACCAACCGATTGATTCCTAGCCGGCCAATCAGCGATGATAATTTAGCGTCACTGCAGCATTTGACCAATCGGTAGTGTTGCAAGGTGCGCGGCACTTCCTCGTTTAGCCAAACCAAGTACTCTAAGAATCGCTCTCATTTTGAGCGTATTTGTCATTTCACAAGTGTTCATGGTAAGTGGACCATATTTGATGTCATAATAGTTACGCCAAGAGATGACGTAAGTGCCTCTGCCCGTAGAAAAGGAGTGAACATGTGACATGTGAAAGACCAGAAGCTTTCGCGACTCTCTCTACCAAATTTCACGTTTTAACACAACAAAACATTCAAGTTTTAACGTGACACATTTTAGCAGTTCGTTTTTACAGTATTATAGAGTGACTTAGTTTGTTCTAACTTGAGTTGAGAAGGCACAAAAAAATGACTGCTGTATTTATGACAAACTCCAGTTGGAAAAAAAAATGTCTCATTGAGATACTTTAATAGTTTTTACCATTGTTGTGGACTGGATTTTTATAGCTTTTTTTAAATTTTTTTTATACAAATTCAACTTTGGTGTACAGTAGCACCTGTACTGTACAATATTCAGTGACTCACATGATGTGCACTTATTGTCCAGCAGATGGCGACCTCTTATTTCTGCTGTGACACGCCAACGACAGTAAATTTAATCTAATTTATTATTCAATATGCTGTTTGTTGTTATCTGCTGAATGACGTCACCCTCTACAACAGACGAGGATAAGGAGCACATTGTCACCTTTGTTGGGATGTCTTTTAAGTTTGTTGCCATTACCTCTGACAGTGTGTGTACAGTATACGCATTTATCTAAATGTTTACTCTGACCTCAAAGATTTTGATTATTTTTGAAACACTAACTCATATACATGTACACGCGCGCACACACCATCGTGAACATGCACACATACGGCTGTGTTGATGACATTACAGTGAGCTCACGGTTATGTGATGAGGTCACACGGTGCTGACAAACAGGAAGTATTTTTAGCTCTGTTGCTAGCCGGCTAACAAGCAGAAAGAAAAGAGGGAAATTTGACGTTTATAACGCGGCTCCGGGGCTTTGACTCACACACGCACGCACGCACGCACGCACGCACACACACACACACACACACACACACACACACACACACACACACACACACACACACAAAGATACATACACACAAAGACACACACCCTTATACACTTTACATTCCAGGTCAGTGTTACAGTTTGTTCTCATTAGGCTGTGTATGTGTGTGTGTGTGTGTGTGTGTGTGCGCGTGCGTGTGCGTGTGCGTGCGTGCGTGTAGGTAAATAAAAGATGCGAGTGATGATGATGATGACACCCAAGCGTAAATAATTTAAACTTTTGGGAGTGTTTTGATGTCACTGAATAATCTCTTTAGCACGCATGCTAACACTGTGAAAGCTGTTTTTTCCCCGCCCTCAGTCAAACTGTCATTTGAAATCCTAACCCAGCCTTGAAACCCTAAAATTGCCTTCAAATCCTCATTTAATGCCTGAATTGGCATTCGTAAAATGGTCTTGAAAGACTAATTTCAACCCTAAGATTGTCTTCACAGCCACGCCATCTGATTTGAACCCTTCATTGGAAACCCTAATCCCATTTTGAATCCCTGAAATGGGCTCAAAACCTGAATTTGAAAACCTAATCTGTATTTAAGGCCTCAATGTGGAACCCTAATGCTCTCTTTAAACCCTAAACTGGCCTTGAAGCCCCAATTTCAAACCTGATCCTTTTTTCGGGCATCAATTCAATCAAGTCACCCTTGAAACCCTAAAATGGCCCCGAAACACTTTTTTGAAATCTTGAAATTATTTTCTCCCAAATCCTTACTTACAACCATTTCAAAACTTGACCCTGTCTCGAAAACTCTCATTAGGAATCCTAACAATCTGAATCTTCTTGTGATCGTTGTTGTGCTAATCAGAGGCCAACTTGAATTTCGGAGGCCAACTTGAAGTTATCGAACTTTTGCAATCTCTTATATATTTTTTTTCCCCCTCCAGCTGCCATTGGCCACACGAGCAAGACATCAGGATGATTGACACCTGCCGAGATTGACAGCAGCTCAAGAAGAGGCTGAGGAAGATGAGGGTGAAGATCAGGCGGAAGAGGTGATGACTTGAATTCTCCTTTAAGGCGTCAGCACGCGCACGTGCGGCTGCAGATGAGCCGTAAAGAAATGTGCATACATGAATGTGTAATGACACGCACGCCTGTGTCGGATGTGTAATGGAGCGATGTTGCTCGTCTGCCCTACATCTGCTGCTCTGCTCTTTATTACAGCTCACTGACCTGTGCGCTGCACGCGTGTGTGCGTGTGTGTGTGTGTGTGAGCCTCCCAAGCGTTGCTGCCGTTGCATGAAATCATTTTTTTGGGGTCATGTACGTGTATTCAAGTCTGTGCGCACATGAGGGAGTGTGAGTCAGTGTAAGTGTATGAATGGGGTGGGGGGGATGTTAGGGGAGTATAAAATTGTGAATATGTGAGTGCGTGAACGGAGTTTGAACCTATGTAAATTTTTGACTGCGAGTGTTTGCATTTGAACGACGTGACCGCATTTGGTTTTGATTTGATGACTTTTATTTCACGTGTGCTTCCAACAGGAAGTAACAAACAGCAAGTGTGTGTGCATGTGTACAGATTTTGTTTTTGTTTTTAAATCCCTACTTCCTGTTTGAGATTGTCAGTGCAGCCAGCCTTCTTCTGACATCCCATAATGGTCAGGCAGGTCGACGCTGTGTGTGTGTGCTAGCGTGTGTTTGTGCTTTTTAGACACAAGCGGCAACATCGTCACATTAAATCAGCTAAAAACATTAGGATGATAGTCATGACAATATCAATAAAAAGAGGACTGAAAGGGAGGCCAAATGTCCTCCAGAATGAACACAACAAACACAAACATTTAAAAGTCAATGTTTTCAAATGATTATTTCAAAACAAATTAAACTCACACCTTTTAAAAAAAACAAAACAACTATTGACTTTGTGCTGTTTTTTTTTTAAACTTGGCGTATTGCAGACTTGAAAAATTCCTTGAGAATACAAACGTTCAAGTTTGAAAGTTGTTGATGACATCGTCATCGCTGATGACGTTATTGCTGATGACTTAATCATTGTAAGAGAAAAAAAAAAAAAAAATCTGCTCGGTGACTTGGACAAAAAGTCAGCCCAGCAAGTTTTATCCAAAGCATCAAATAACCATCTCGTGTCATCGATAGGAAGCCATTTTTGTTGCTTCTTATTGCTGGTTGTCAAACGCATGCTCGATTGCGAGACTTCATAGGAAGCCACGAGCCATTTTCAGTCATTTCCATTTTCAGCTAGAAAAGTCTGCTCGGAAAAAAAAGAAAACCCATCCGAGTTGAAAACGTGTTGAAAAGTGCTGCAGCAGCAAATCATCGCATTGATGACCCATTTTGTTTTTTCTGCTGGTTAGAGAAGGGCACCCGTACCCTCCAAATTGGAAGAAAAGTGGAAGATTCCTGAGGAGGAAGAGTCGGGGCGACTCGGACTCGTACTTTGTGCAGACGGGTGGAATAACGAGAAGTCATGTTGGACTCCAGCAGAGTCATATGGAGTCACGTGGAATCAAACGGAGTCAAGTGGAGTTACTTTGGGTCATGTGGAGTCACATAGAATCAAGTTGATTCAGAAAGATGGCATCAAGTGGAGTCATAAGGTGTCAGGTGGAGTAAGGTGAGTCACGTGGTCAGACAGTGTCAAATGGAGTAACATGCAATCACATGGAATGAAACGGGGGGCACCTCGAGTCATGTTGGCATCAACGTAGAGTCACCTGGAATCAAGTTGAGTCAGATGTGCTTCCGTGGAATTCCGTGGAGTCACGTGATAAGTGCTGGTTGGAAAACACACATGCCCTGCAAGGTGGTATAAAAGTGGAAATTTCCTGAGAAGGATAAAGTTTGGTTCAGGGCGACTCAGACTCGTCCTCAGGCGACGTCGCCACTTTGCCCGTGTCGACGTCTGCCGCGCCCTCGGGTGAGGCGGGCGTGGTCGGCGTCATCTTCTCGTAGGTTCTCCTACGCTGGCGTCGCAACGTGTGACTCTGCAGCTCTTTTACCTCCTGCAGCACTTCCTGCGCCTCCTGCCAGGAACACATGGCCTCCACTAGGAGGCGCTCTGCCTCAGCACACCTCTTCTGGAGCTCCACCTCATCCTGCTTCGGTTTTTGGGGCGTTTTGGTCTGACAGGCGTCTGACGACTCTGACAAGCTCTTGGATTCGTTGTGACCTTCGCAGGACGAATCGTCACCGCTGTGTGGACACGTCGACGACTTGGCCGGCAAATCCACGGCGCCGCTGTCTGGTCCCAGGGTGATCGGCGGCGATTCGGGAAGACGGAGCGCCTCTGAGGAAGGATCGGGCGAGTCAATCAGACGAGGGGAGTCGCTTGGACAAGCGGAAGACCGCGAGCCTCGGGAGCGAGGGGAATCGACATCCCGGGAACGATTCTTGTGGGCTTTGCAGCGTGGAGATTCGCGACTTCTCAGTCGGGGCGAGTCCTTACGTCGGGGGCCAGGAGAATCACCGCTACGGCTACGAGGAGACAATGATGACCTGAGGACGCATAAAAAACACAAGTTCACCCAAGTTGGCGTCATAGGGAGTCACGCGTGTCTGCATGGCACCTGGAATGAGGTGAGTCTCCGCCCCTGAGGTGATGAAGACGAGGAGACTCCACCCCCTTCTCAAACGCTGCGCTTCCTCCTCTCTCTCGCTCAGCCTTGGCCTTCTGCAGCTCCTGTCACAAGACATGTACCCTCATGGAGTCACATGAGGAACCAAACTCGTCAACGCGACTAGTCGATAAGAGAAGTTAAGATGATGAGTCAGTAGTATGAGCCAGCAACAAGATTTCAACATGGCAAGTTAGCACAACTACTCCGCAGGGCCAGTCAGGAGGACTAGTCAACCTTGCCAGTGAGGTTCGTCTTTGAGAGGCTCATCAGCACAATGACCCAGCGGGCTTCGGTCAATGGGATTAGCCAAGCTGACTAATGCTCAGGCGAAACAAAGAAGAGTGTTAACCTGCAGTCGTAGTTCCTCAAGCAGTTCCTGCGCCCGTTGCATCTTCTGGGCGATGAGAGACTGCAGTTGACCCACGGGCTGCACCGAGGCTCCGCCCTCCTCTTCTGCAGGACGTCGGCTGAGAGCCCAACGCAACTCAGAGCGAATCATCGCCGGTCTGTCAATGACAAGAAGAGGCATTTAGTGCAGGGGTCCCCAACCGCCGGTCCGCGGACCGGTACCGGTCCGCCGGGCATTTGGTACCGGGCCGCACAGAAAGAACTTGCCTTAATTCCGTTTTATTTATTTCGGAATACGAAAGATGTTTTATTTTGAAAACTTACCGGATTCTCCGTTACATCCGTCTGTGTCCAGCTTGACACACGTCAAGCCACGCTTCTCCGTAACGCGACCAATTAGGCTAAAAACAAACACCGGAGCTCGCAAAATGAGTAAAAAAACTGCTGGAGATCGCAAATGACGGCGGCCTTAAAAGTACGTTCGAGACAACTGGATTAAAGTTATGTCTGAATACTCTGAGATCGCCACAATAGCACTTTTGCTATTTCCGACATCCTACCTGTGTGAGGCGGGGGGATTATGCAGCAACGGCGACGAAAACAAAATTACGAAGTAGACTGGACATAAACCACACACTTGCGGTGTCATTGTCTCTCCTATTACCCCGAGATGGGACCGTCTGGTTGCAGAAAATCAAGCTCGGTGCTGTGGTGAGTCGTCATTTTCATGCACTTTGAATTTGCGTTGTATCGTATTTTGAAGGCATTAAACATTGCCATAGCGATTGGAGTGTTGCGGCCAGATTAGACGCTCCTTGTGTTTATTATTATATTTCGAAAACACCACAGTTTTCATGCAGCTCATACCATATTATTTTGTTGTATTATTTCCGCCACACCTTAAATGCCGGTCCCTGAAAATATTGTCTGACATAAACCGGTCCGTGGGGCAAAAAAGGTTGGGGACCCCTGATTTAGTGGACTGGGATGGTTCCTAAAAAAGAATCCCTGTCTGTAAATCTGTAATTGCATTCACTGACCTCTAGATGGTGGACTATATATTCATTCATTCATTTTCTGAACCGCTTATTCTCACAAGGGTCGCGGGGGTGCTGGAGCCTATCCCAGCTGTCTTCGGGCAGTAGGCGGGGGACACCCTGAACTAGTGGTAAGATCTAAAGCCCGGAATGTGGGAGGAAACCGGAGGACCCGGAGAAAACCCACGCAAGCACGGGAGAACATGCAAACTCCACACAGGAAGGCCGGAGCCGGATTCAAACCCTGCACCTCTGCATTGTGAGGTCGATGCGCTAACCACTGGACCACTGGGGCGGCCGTGGACTATATAGTTGAGCCAAAACGATTAATCCAATACCGAAATCAGGGGTGTCAAACTCATTTTTGTCGCGGTACACTTTGGAGTTACGTCTTCCCTCGGAGGGCCGTTACGACCAAAGAAATGTTTAATCATCGCATCGTATTATTAAATCATCGCATCGTATTATAAAAAAATAAATAAATAAAAAAGACGGATTACGAGTTTTGATATCAGTCAACTATTTGTTTGTTTCTTCAACTATTGTTCAAGTGAGTGTAAACCGGGTAACAAAAGGATTTCCGTATAGATTTAAGCAAATATGGAAGTTGACGCATATGATTTGCTTTTGTGGGCCACATAAAATGATGTGGTGGGCCGGATCTGGCCCCCGGGCCTTGACTTTGACACCTGTGACCGAGATAGCGAATAGGCAGTCATTTCCAGCCTTTGTGTCCACCTAGAGGAGAGGACTTCATCCATGGATGCGCAGCGGCTCCGCCCCACGATGCTGTTCCGCTTCCCAGGCTGAGGGGTTCTGGAATGTTTTTGAAGGACCTGAAAGAAGATGCACGCTCACATCAACACGTCCTTCCACGATGCGTTCGATCTCCTTACCTGCAGCTGTTGGCTCTTGTGCACCTTGGAGTTTTCCAGGTGGGAATATTTCCCCCAGGAACGCTCGCTTCCTCTGGGCAGACTTCCCGTCTTCACTTTGGGTTCCTTGGTTCGTACTCGTAGTTTGGACACGTCCGTCCCCGAACGCTGACGTCCGCCGCCTCCGGCCGCCGCCGTTGCCACCCGCCCATTGGAGCCCACGCGGAACACACTCTCCCAGGAGGTGCCGTCACATTCTGAGAAGCCTTCCTCCTCGGCCACTAGATCGAGGGCCAGCATGCCGTGACAGGACGAGGAGGCCTGGACGTCCAAAAGAAGATGACGGATGAGAAAACACAAATTCAGATGTGGCGGACAACTTGAGGGCGCCATACCACGGTCATCAAATGTCCCCGGGTGGGAAGACGGCGTCCTTGCGGGATCTTGGCTCGGTCTCGGGTGGGATGCACCAACACATCCTCCTCCATGGTCACCTACGCGCAAGCGGATGTGGGGGGAAATGAAGAGATGAGGACGTGTCCAAGGTCACACCTAATTAATTAATTTCCCCCTATGCAGGTTGAAAATTATGCCCGTTTCCCACGTTGGAATCACGTGCAAGTTCAAATTCAGTGGATTCAAAGGACTCGTTTCCACGGTGTTGCTCACATGAACATACTTGTATGGTCATTTAAAACATGTGCGCTGGACATTTAGACGTGCGCGCATGAGGACCAAAGTATGTGATTCAGGACGGCTTGGATGTGTGGCCAGCTGGTCGTTTGGAGGGAGAGGCGGCCGTGTACTTGTGGACATTTGGACACGGGGACATGCTTGTGTGGATGTGCGCAAATAAGACCAAAAGGACGTGTGATGACGTGTTCTCGGACACACGTGGGGTTCCCCGGTCACGTGTACATACGCACATCAAAATGTGATTGTGTGGACATTTAAGTGTCGCAACGTTAATGTGGACTTTTTGAGTTCGAGGATGGATTTTTGTGGACATTTTCAGGAGTTGACATGCGGACATCTCTGGACTTGTGGCCATGAGGAGATGTGGACATTTGGATGTTAATTGACATTTCACATGCGGGAATTTCAAATTTGGTTGTGTTGCTATGCGGAGTTGTGGACACGCTAACATGAGTTAAAAAAAAAAAAAAAGAACATTTGGATGAGTGACTGCGTAGAGTTGCTGACCTGGTCCAAAACTCTATTTTTGGCCTTGGCGATGGCGACATTGAGAGCGGTGATCCATGACTCTTTCTCCTCGGGACTGACGGCCAGGAAGAGAAGGTTGGGAACCTGAAAGAGGACGGACGATATGTCCGGCTCATCACCTGAAGACGTCGCGATGACGATTGTGCCCCCGTATGTGAGAATGCGAGTGTCCGTCACACTCTCAAGGGAAGGGATAGCACATCTTTTTACACGCCGTCCATGATGGAAGATGACGTCACTGTGGTGAAGATGATGATGAGGATGAAGATAGCAGCGGGGCTGTGTACTAACACCAATGCTAACGCCGTCAGATTATTCCGCTCCGACTCGTCCTGTGACACACTAATGGGATTCTGTGGATTAAATCTTTTTACATGGAGGGAAAAAAAAAAAAACAAGCCCCAAGCTCAGCCAGTCAGAACGGCTGAGGCAGAGTCGTTGTTGGCATTAAATTCAGCCCACCGCTCACCAGAGGGATGCCGGAGAAAATCCACCAATGACGACGTAGCGACTTTCAGGCAGGGATGAAGTAAATCTCTTTGCGCGTCCTGTGACATCACTAAAACACGCAAAAGAGTCCCGCTGCTGCACTTCGGAAGCTTTTCCAGCACCCGAATAAAACCAAACGCAAAGTGGCCCAAATCCTCAGGGTGACATCATCCAAAAGCTGCAACACATCCTGACGTCTGTCCCAACATCATCAGCCCAAAGCATCCCACATCCTGAAATTATTCTACCTCGAAACCTTTTAGTTCCTGAAGCCACCCCGACACAATTCAAAACCTTCCCCCGAAATGTCTCCATCTCATAAATGTCAAAAAGATTTCAAAAAATGCCAAATCCTGAAACGACTCCTCATCCTGAGCCCACCTACTTCCCAAAACACCTCTTACCCTGAAATCCTCCTCGCCCTGAAAAACTACAGCTACTTCCATAAACTGTCCTAAAATGATCTAAAAAAAAAAATAAAAAATCCCACGTCCAGGATCCGAAACTCTTCCACACTTCAATTGCATCATGACATTACAGGAAATGACATCACAGACGATGACATGTAGGGTGTGCTGGGAATCATTTCCTATCCACTGTGTAGTGAGTGGGCGGCCCAGTGGGTGGTCCAGTGGTTAGCGCGTCGACCTCACAGTGCAGAGGTATCGGGTTCGATTCCAGCTCCGGCCTCCCTGTGTGGAGTTTGCATGTTCCCATATGTGGGTTTTCTCTGGGTACTCCGCTTTCCTCCCACATTCCAAAAACATGCATGGCAGGCTGATTGAACACTCCAAATTGTCCCTCGGTGTGAGTGTGAGCGCGAATGGTTGTTTCTTTCTGTGTGCCCTGCGGTTGGCTGGCAACCGGTTCAGGGTGTCCCCCGCCTACTGCCCGAAGACAGCTGGGATAGGCTCCGACACCCCCCGCGACCCTTGTGAGGATAAGCAGATCGGAAAATGAATGAACGAATGAATGAATGTGTAGTGAGTTGTAGACAAATTGATGGATTGAATCACAGCACTGGAAAAAAATAAAATTAGTCCTCTATATAAAACCCCTTTGTGACTACAATGGATGATTCCAAATGTAGTCGCTAATCAATATATCATATATTTTAACCCTTTTGTGCACCCTGTAACCTGATAACATGAGAAGCTATCCACTGTCGTGACTGTTGTCCCCGAAAGGGTTCAGGAACTATCTCGGTCCGTCCTCTAGTGACTTTGATTGGATTTGGAAATCCCAAAATGGCTACTGCATCAAAATCTTGATATGGTGTTGACTGATGAAAGATTCCGAGCGGCATTAATTGCATCCGGACTCATTCATCTCTCGCCTACTCCCGGACAAGTATGACAGGGATTTTTTTTTTCTTCCTCGAACTGTCTAGGTGCATTGTATAAAAGACCCGACGCAGTGATGACGGAATGGTCAGGAGGCGTTGAACCGACCGTGTTGCCGCGCCGTCGGCATCGGATGAGTGTGAAGCGGCTGTGGTTCTTCTTGCTGCGACTCTTGGCCTTCCTCAACTCTTCCGAGCGCTCGTAGTCGGCCAGGTCCACGACTTCCTGAGATTTGCGCTCGTCCCTCACCTGAGAAGGTAAAACACGGCAACGCTCAGAGAAGACCACGACGCTCTCGTGCAATACTGAAACACTTTCACTCAAATTGCGGATATTCTTCCCCTTGGTGTGCATTACTGAACATCTCTGGCACTGCATCCATACACGCAGCTGTTGTGACGCCATTGGCTTGGGAAATTGCAGCCATACTGGTCGCATGGGCACGTCGATGCAGAACCACATGACCTGCGCGAGTGCTCAGTGCCGACAACTGTTGCGTAAGAAGGCGGCGGTACAAACGAGTCAATAAGTGTGTCAATATGTGATCGACATGATACTGGCCGGCGCTTCACACAGAACGCACGAGCTTGCGCGCTCGGTAGGCGCGCATGTTCTTGAGCTCCTAATGGGAAACGGCGAGAGGGATTGATAATAACGCCTCAATGCCTCTCAGCTCGTTAGTGCGGCACTAATAACAGTCATTTGACCCTAACGCAGAGCCGACACATGATTGCGCGGCGATGGTTAATGCACGCGTTCAAAAACATCATGCATTTGAAATCTCAGCCTGGAAATGACTAACTGCGTCTTTGCGTGTGTGTGTGTGTGTGTGTGTGTGTGTGTGTGTGTGTGTGTGTGTGTGTGTGTGTGCGTGCTCGCGCACGTGTGTAAATGTGCATTTGCTCAGGCATCCATGTCTTTGCAAGTCCATGTGCAAATGAATGCTCATCAGTGTGTATCAGCTGCAGGCTCGGTGGTGTCACATGATCTTTGATTCCGTCGCACGTGTTGACTGCTCAGCTGGCAGCCCGCGTCTTTGGGTTTGTGCATGCGTGTGTGCCAACGTCCATGTGTTTCGATGCGACTCTGCGCGTTTTTCAATGTTTGTATCTGACTGCATGTCTGTTTGAGTGTCTTCCTGTTTGACCGTGCGCATGTGACTGCGTGTGAGTGACTGTTGGGATGGGGGGGGGGGTGCATGTTTGGATGGGTGTTTGGGTGTGTGCAATATTTTGCGTATGCACTGTACCTGTGCTCGCGTGTGTTTGAGTGCCTGTGTATGCATATCTGCACACACACACACACACACACACACACACACACACACACACACACACACACACACACAAACACACGTGTGATGCTCGTCATTCTGACCTCCTTCTCCGATATGAACAAGTGTTCTCCTCTGAGGACCACGTAGCGACTCCTCCAAAGCTCCCTGAAGATCCCGCGGCCGCAGAACTTCCTCAGCCAGCCGAACTTATCCGGCGGAGGTGGGGCACCTGAATGGGCCGGGTCCTGAGGCCCCTGTGCGCGAGCGCGCACACACACACACACACACACACACACACACACACACACACACACACATATATTTACATACATATCCACACATTGCGAGCACACACCATCATTGTGTGTGTGTGTGTGTGTGTGTGCACGCTTACTTTGTTAGAGCTTCAGATTTTGTGAAAGAGCTATTTAATGTATTGTACATATATTTTTAAAAATATTTTTTATATATGTATATTAGATACACTATGGATTGAGCTCCTGTAATTTGATCATATTGCTATTGTTCTAAATATATATATA